AAGGTCTCTCTGCCCCGTCTGATGAAGACAGACCGAGGTAATTTAACTTATTTACGTTATCTTACCGTGGATTACGGAGTGATCTAATATTGGCTCATCGTATACTGAATGATGACCTTGGTATTAACATTTCTTATCATGTCCTCCCGTCTAGGACTGATCACTTCAGAGGATATTTTAGGACGGCTCAAAAACTGAAATCAAATAGCAAATGTCTAGTTTCGTTCCTCGCACTGAATAATGAATTACTGAAGTTCCATACCGACCCACATCAACTACACTGCTGACAGCTTCATCTCCAACTGCACAGGACTTTCCGAAGCGAATCTGGGCGCTGGCTTGGTGTTCCGGAAACTGCAGCACCTAGGAAAAGACACTTCTGCTGGCCCAGATATGGTTCATTCTGCTATACGGAGGAAAGGAGCCTCAATGCCGGCAACACAACTTAGCTTGACGTTCTCACACTAGCGAAGTCGAGGAGAACCACAGGAAATTTGGAAGCTTGCTCACATCACACCAATTTTCAGAGGAGGTCGACACTGCGAACCTTCAAGTTGTCGACCGGTGGCTGTTCTGTCTATACCTTCAAAAATCATGGAGTCCCTGATATGCGATAGTATACATGACAATTTGCTGTCCTTAAATTTCTTCTCACCCCAAAAGCATGGTTTCAGGAAGGGTCACTCTTGTTTGACCAACCTGCTGACTGCGGTGGACAGATGGACTACCATCCTTGATCGCAAGGGGAAGGTTGATATCATTTACCTTGATTTCTCTTAAGATTTTGATAGGGTCGACCATATATGTCTTATCAATAAGCTCGAACGATTGGGTATCAGATCACGTCTAATTGATTGGCCCATTTCACATCTGAAAAATCTACATTTTAAGGTCAGGGTTAACTTCACTTTATCGCAGGATATGGAATGTCCTATGGGGTTCCCCAGGGCTCAGTCCTAGGACCTCTTCTTTTCCTGGTCTATATAAATGATCTTCCACAACAGGTGTCGTCAGACATTACTTTTTGCTGATGACGTGAAACTTCGGTGAGTGATACGCAACCAAGACGATATACAGACATTTCAGGAGGATCTGACTCGACTTCAAAGTTGGGAAGACGATAACGAACTTACCGCAAACACTTCAAAGTGTTAATTTGTCTATCTGTGACATGTCGCAGACTACAGTTACAACTTAAGAAACTCCTCTCTAGTAGTATCCCTAGTCGAAATAGATTTTAGAGTCCTGGTGCCCTATGATTTGAAGTCGTACGCTAACTGTGATGAAAATGCCATTAGGGTAAACCTTGCACTGGCAACATTGAAGCGCATTTTCGGCCAGTTCGACAGAGGAACTTTCCACATAATCTTCAACAGTTTTATCCGTCCCCGCTTAGAGTATTGAGCGTATCCAACGACGAGTCACGAAATCAGTTCAAGGACTCATTTAAACCTTATGAAGAGCATCCCCGATCATTTGACTCTCACCCACTGGAGTATAGGCATCTTAGAGGTGACCTTCTGTTGACTTACAGTATCCTTACGACTTCTGGACATCCTCTTAAACACCTACTTAAGCTTAGTCCCAATACAAACCTAAGGGGTGACACCCAAAAATTGGGGGCGCGAAATAGCAGAACGGACTGTTGACACAACTTCTACCCCTTAAAAGTTGTCACTTGCTGGAATCCGTTGCCGACTGAGCTCTTCCAAGCGAATTCCCAGGAGTCCTTTAAGAGGAAACTTGACCTATTCTTAAGGTCTAAGGATAACATCTTATCATGAGTTATCTGTTTCTTTTTTATGATCTGTTATAGTTAATATGCCTAGATTCCTGCCTGCAGGTGTTGGTATTCCACTGCTACTAGACACGGATGCTCTTACGGAGTTGAGGACTCGCAAATTAAATGGCGAAAATAACTTTACCATTAAGGGTTTTCGGGTAGTCAGGTCTTGGAAGCCAATGCTTCCGAGGCCTGTATGGGTAGAACGATTGATTTCCAAAACACCTTAAGTGTGTGCTACACGAACGCTCGTAGTCTTAGAAATAAAACGTCCGAGCTAAGTCTGATGGTGCAAGAATTATGTCCCGATATAATCGTTGTTACAGAAACTTGGTTCACCGTTGATATAGACTGTTCTCCTTTCATTGCTGGTTATATCTGTATCAGAAGTGATAGAGTTTCAAGTCGCAAGGGGGGAGGTATAATATTTTACGTTAGGGATCACTTTCGTATACAATCAACCATATCGGAGGCTCATATCAGTGGCACATGTGAGGTTGTATGTTGTAAGATTAAATCTAGAAATGGGTTAGTGATTATAGGGGGAATATACCGTAGTCCGTCTTGTCTTGCTGACGACTTTATCCTAAGACACATCTGTTCTTGGAGTATGGCAGAATGTTGTCTCATCATTGGGGACTTCAACGCACCGCATATCAACTGGATAGAGCTTACAGCTCCAGGTAGCGGTTTCGATAGCGACCTTTTATCTACCGTTATTCAGTGTGCACTTGTACAATGTATCACAAAACCGACACATATTGATTTGCATCATGTTCCGTCACTGCTGGACCTCGCCCTCACCCACCACTGTGAGGATGTCTTTGATATCCAGCACCTTCCTCCACTAGTGAACAGTGATCATGTTGTAATTCACTTTAAGTTTAGGACACATGGTATACAATTCGTATCTGCTCCACCCCGTCCCAATATCTGGCGAGCTAATATTCCGGAAATCAGAAACCGTGCTATCTCGACGGATTGGTCGGTCGACGCAGATGGATTGATCGAAGATGAATGGAATAAGTTTAAGGCTACATTCGAGTCCGTAACGTCGCCGTTTATCCCATGGTCAGCACGTAAGCTATCACATTGCCCTCCATGGATTAATAAGGAAACCCGGAAGCTGTTAAAGCGTAGGAAACAATTCTGGGACTTATTCTTGTTGACAGGTCATGCACCATTTAAGCGTGAGTATCAAAAATACCGTAATATCTGTAAGAAAACCATAGCGAAATCCCGTACCACTTACGAACGGCAGTTAGTATATGGTAGCCGTACTTGTCCGAAACGATTGTTTTCGTATGTTAAACGGCAAATGAAACGTAGTGATGGTATTCCCCCGTTGCTGTTACACGAAAATTCAGAATTACTAGCTGAATCAGATCGAGCAAAAGCTGAGACGTTTTCAGATTATTTTAGCGAAGTCTTCTCTACGTTTATTGTAACAAATACTTGTCCCACTCACACCGAGATACCAACCATTGAATCCGTACAGGTGACTGAGGAAACTGTCTTTCCGTTGATAACTAACCTCAAACCTGGTAAGATACCGGGCCCTGACGGGTTACATCCACGGTTGCTATCATCTCTTGCGGACATTATTTCAAAACCGCTTGTGACACTCTTCAACATGTTCCTCTCACTCGCTCAACTCCCTAGAGATTGGAAGGACGCTATAGTCAGTCCTATATTTAAGGACGGTCAGAGACATATAGTATATAACTACCGGCCTGTTAGTCTAACTAGCATAGTCGTTAAGTTACTCGAAAAGATAATTCGGGTTAGGTTGCTAAGCCACATAGATTCACACAATCTGTTAGCTCCTGAGCAACACGGATTTCGTAACAGGCGTTCTTGCTTGACTAACTTGCTTATTGCGAGGGAGGATTGGACAGCAGCCCTAGATCACGGTCTGTCTGTCGACGTGATATTCATAGATTTTAGCAAAGCGTTTGACAAGGTTTCACACGTAGGTCTTATGCAGAAGCTCACGAGCTTCGGAATAATAGGTACTGTACATGAGTGGATAGGAAATTTCTTATGTGACCGCAGACAGAGAGTTAGGGTCAATAGAACGCTATCCGATTGGAAGCCGGTCAAAAGTGGTGTACCCCAAGGCACCATCTTAGGCCCTCTGCTCTTCCTTCTCTACGTTAATGAGTTACCACTGTTACTTAGGTCGTCGACATTATTGTTTGCAGATGATGTAAAAATCTGGAGAACAATAAAAAGTGCGGCTGATCATGTGGATCTTCAAGCTGATTTAGACGATTTAGTTAGATGGGCTCGAGAGTGGGGCTTAGAAATTAATGCTAGGAAGAGTGTACTAATGCACGTCGGTCACGGTAATAGTTACCGTTACACTATTGAGGGTAAACCTCTTCCATGCGTTCAAGAGCATAAGGACTTAGGAGTAATATTAAGTCATGACTTAAAAACAACTGCGCATTGCAAAGCAGCCGCTGTCAAAGGTTTTCGTGCGTTATGGTCACTTCGCCGAGCGTTCAAATCTTTTGACGAGGAAACGTTTCGAATTTTATACCCCATATATGTTAGACCACATTTAGAGTACTGTATCCAAGCAGCTAGCCCGTGTCTAGTAAAGGATACTAACTCCCTTGAGCGTTTCCAGCGTGTGGGAACGAAATTAGTGAAGGGTCTTTCTAGTCTCCCTTACGATGAGCGCTTAAAACGCCTAAATCTTTTCCCCTTGTCGTATCGTAGGATACGAGATGACATTATACTGGCATTTCGTATCTTTAATTACGATTTGGGTGTTAATATGTCTTATCTTTTTGCTCCCTCCAGCACTAATAATCTCCGAGGTCATAGTAAGAAGGTTCATAAACCACGATCTAATAAACTTAAAGTGGGATCCCGTTTTTCTCATCGAGTAGTCAATGATTGGAACGCCTTACCCGAACAAGTGGTATCAGCCCCATCAGTGAATACTTTCAAGGAAAACCTGGACCTTCACTGGAAAGCAATGTGTCAGGATTAACACAGGTTCATCAACCTACTATCCTTATTACTGAAGACTGAAGACATCCATTTGAACCACTTTGAAACATTTAGAACACGCAATATCAGCATCTTCTGTTGGCATATTCAAGACGAGATTGAACCCCCGTAGTGCTAAAAACTGCAAGGATTAATATAGGTTGATAGACCTTCTATCCTTATTACCGAAGGTTGACGACACAACCACTTGCATGAAGGCTCGAAGTTTGACGTGATCCAAGGTCAAGGTCATATCAGCATGGCTAGAAAAGGTGAACGTGTTTCTGTGAGTGAAGACGATGACGAAGATATTTATGACCCTAAAAGCAGGGGATTCTGTCGTGCATGTGTCGACTTGTCAAAGTTTGGTCTTACAAAAGCAAAGGAGATGGTATCCAAACCGAGTGTAGGTATGTACTTTTCCAAAACGTCCTTATATCTTGTATTGTATTGTTCACTGTGTGTTTTAAAATGTAACCGCTAGCCCAGGAAATTCTATACTGAATGGGTATGCGTGTATAGGTAATATTGAAATTCAGTATTCTTATTTTCACTTGCTCGTACAAGCAAATATACGTCATTAATGAATATTCTATAGAATATCCAAGATCATATATGATCTAGAACGATGCAGTCGGCAGCTAAACTCTCGATAGTTAATCTCCCGTGGCTTACGTACTGTTTCCATGGTTCGGGTTAGTTTTTTTGTCCCAAATGTTTCTTCAAAACTTTGAACTTTATGAAAGTTATATGTCGTTTGAGTTACTCTTGAAACAAGGAGTTTAGAACCAAGCTTTATGTACGACTCCAGGCGACATTTTGGTTGATCGGAATGTAGGCAACACAGCTGCTTTTTTCTACAAAATATCTAGAGACTCGAAGTGTATATATACTGTCTACGGGGTTTAGAAACTTACTCAGGTTCGTGATAGGCTAGGATGCGAAAGAGTCCTTTCTATTTGTGCTTACCGGATTGGACTGGTGCTCCCATTATTGTTGTTACTACTATTATTATTATTCCTATCCACTTGTTATTTTTTGTTATTCTCATCTTCCTCTCCCTATATCGTCATTTTTCTGTGACACAATTATATTTTATCCCCCCTTTGTACCAGTTTAAATAAATGAATGTAAATAAAGGTACAATGTAAATGCTAGTTCATGCCTGGAGTTTTTCTTCAAAACCTTTTTAATGTTAAAAGTAATTGACCCAGTGATTATAATCTTTATACTGTTCAGTCATTTGCATAGATTACTTACACCTGTTACCTCTCATATAGGGGCATAGGCCGCCCACCAGCATTCTCCATCCAACTCCGTCGTGGGAAATCCTTTCCACTTGCTATTCATCCATTTCATGTCTGCTTTCGATTCTCGACGCAGTGTGTTCTTTGGCATTCCTCTTTACCGTTTACCTTCAGGATTCCAAGTTAGCTCTTGCTTCGTGATGCAGTTTGATTATTTCCTTAATGTATGTCCTATTCATCCCAGTGTGTTTCTAGTTTCCTGTTCAGCTGGAAAGCAGTTTGTTCTCTTCCACAATAGGCTGTTGCTGATGGTATCCGACAAACGGACATTGAGTATCTTGCATATACAATTGTTCATAAATAATTGTACTTTTTGATTATGGTTGTAGTAGTTCTCCACATTTCAGCTCCGTACAATAGAACTGACTTGACGTTCGTATTAAAGATTCTTACGTTGATATTGGTTAATAGTTGTTTTGAGTTCCATATGTTCTTCAAGTGTAGGAATGCTGTCTTTACTTTGCCAATCCTTACCTTTCCGGCTGCATCGGATCCTCTTTGTTCATAGACGATACTGTCCAGGTACGTGAAAGTTTCACCTGACAGGTGTACTCCTGAGATTTTTAAGGATAGTGGTCCAGTATTAGCAGTGAGGTTAACTGAGGTCTTAGGTAGAATTCGGGAACGGGACGTAATCCCATCTGACCATATATATTTGGTGCCCTCTTGTACCAATATTTATTTGTTCAAATCAATCAATAAATAATAGATAATCACTGATTGTGCTAGCCTATAGGAAAGGACAGAAGTCCTCTTGTGACAATCACAGAGGAATCAGTTTGACTAATATAGTGTCTAAAATATTAGCTTCAATAATACTTCGACGCCTAACTAAATCTAGTGAAGAACAGACTAGGGAAAATCAGGCTGGTTTTATAGACCAGACATTAACACTACGTCAAGTTCTAGAACACAGACACAAATTCAGACGCCCCACAATCGTAGTATTTTTCGACCTTAAGGCGGCATTTGACTCTGTTGATCGTGAGGTTCTATGGCAGTGTTCGTCACTGAAAGGAGTACCAAAGAAGTACATTAATCTTGTAAAGGCTCTCTACTCGAACACAACTGGTAGAGTGAGAGCTTATGGCGAACTGTCATCAGAATTGTTTACCTCAAGTGGTGTTCGTCAGGGCTGTCCACTCTCTATTCTTGTTCAACTTTGTCGTCGACGTACTTTTAGAGATAACACTTTCCTCGTCTAGATTTCCAGGGGTTGAACTTGTACCAGGAGGTTCACTTGTTGACTTAGAATATGCTTGTTAGCGGGAAATAGACTAGATTAAAGCATGCTCAATGCATGATTGCTTTGGTGCACGCTGATTGGCTAATTCTTATCCAATCAGCACTAGTCGATAGTTGGAGAATACTCTAGAATCTTCTTATGTAAAAACTATAAATATACTGACGTTTTCCCTATTGTGCTTCTGACTTGCTTCTTACTTCCATCTAACCTTGTTATTTGGAATATAATCTCTTTCCTGTTCAACCGTGTTTTGATTTGGGGACTTGTCGAGTGAATCGGTGTCCTAGAATACTAGGCAATAGGAATAGCTGGGTCATAACCGTAAGAAAAGAGAGATTATAACAATGCTGATGACATAGTTTTATTTGGTGAAGAGGCTGACAAAATGCAGAGTCTTCTGACCACTCTAAGAAACAATGCAAGCATGTTCGGGATGCGATCCCCCCCTCGAAATGCAAAATGTTGTTTCAGGATTGAGTTGCATCGACACTCGAACTAATGATAGGGAGTGAAGTAGCTGAGTGTGTCGACCGCTTCACTTATCTTGGAAGTCTCATCAGCCCTTGTGGTCTAGTGTGTGACGAAATCTCAGCACGTATACAGAACGCTCGAATAGCTTTTGCCAACTTGCGTCATTTATGGCGTAGGCGAGATATCCGTCTATCAACCAAAGGACGTGTTTACTGCGCAGCAGTTCGTCCCGTCCTTCTCTATGGCAGTGAAACATGGCCGGTAAGAGTAGAGGATATCCGTAGGTTACTAGTATTTGATCATAGGTGTCTTCGAAACATTGCTCGTATATCCTGGGACCACCGGATAAATAATGCAGTTGTTAGGAAACGGGTACAAGGTAGGGATGGCAAGTCAATCTATGATGTGATGAAACGTCATCAGTTGAAATGGCTGGGACACGTGTTACGTATGCCCAGCCACCGACTGCCTCGTCGTGCGATGTTTTATGGTATAGGAGAAGATTGGAAGAAAGCTCGATGAACGGCCAGAACAAAACATGGCACAAGTCCATGAAGTCACTGACAAGTGGACTGAGCCATGTTGGTAGGTGTAGACTACCTGGTTGGGGACCGCGAGATGATAGCAACAGATGGTTAGAGACCCTGAATGACATGGCTCAAAATCGTTTGCAACGGCGCAGGTGCATCCACTCTTTGTATTCTCCCAAATTCCAATCTTCTGAATTCTTCATGTCCCTTTCTTTTTTCTCTTTCCGAATTTATTTCACTGTATTATATTCCTTGAATAACCGCAATCTTTCCGATTACCACTTATACTCTTACCACCTCTACCACTACGGGATTTGAATCGATAACTGCATCTCTATGCTAATGTGGTATGGCAACTCGAACTGATGTGTGTACGTACGAAGTTCTCCATTGTTACTGGCTGACTGACTGACGTGAAAGTCTCGACCTCTTCCAGAGTTTTCCCACCAAATGTGGTTAGGTTGGTGTTCTCCATGTTGTATTTGAGGATCTTGCTTTTTCCTTTTTGTATGTTGAGGTCTATTGATGTAGAGGCTGTTGTTACACTGTTTGTCTTGACCTGCATTTGTTGATAATGTTTACCCTAAAAGCAGCACACCTCGTTTTGTCCCACATTTATTTATTTATTTGAACACATATATATTGTTACAGGATTGCGCCAAATATATATGCACCACACAAAACAATGAAAATTTAAGAAGCAGAAAAAGAAAAAAAGTGGGTAACGTAAAAAAATATTAAAAAAAAAACAATAACGAAGAGATTGGTGTAAGGTAGTGTAATAACGGTAGTAATAGTAGGGGAACAGAAGGGTAAAATCAGAAGAAATCTTTCAGTTAAGGAAGATACAACCACGTTTTATGAAGAAAGTAAAAGAAGGTTACAGCATGATCGCCACTGGCTTCTATTCTGAGCCATATCTGATAACGTCTCTAACCACTGTGTTGTACCATCTCTCGGACCCCAACCAGGGAGTCGTGAAAGACCGACACAAGCCAGCCCTTTGCAGCTTTCTTTCATACCACGACACCATGTCATATACTGACCACCTCTCCGCTTTCTCCAACCAGTCCCAGAGTTGGCAAATAATGCACGACGTGGAGTACTCTGGAACGACATTCGTACAACATGTCCAAGCCACCGAGGTCGGTGTTTCAAGATGGTGATACCAAATGGATTATCGTCTCTGCGCCCGAACACACGATGCTAAACCTCTGCATTACTAACATGGTGTTGCCACTGGATGTCAGCAATCCTTCGGAGACAGCAATGATCGAACACAGAGAGTCGTCTAACATCCTCAACTCGGAGAGGCCAGGTTTCACAAGCATAGAGCAAAACTGCTCTCACCGACGCGTTGTAAATCCGACCTTTTACAGCCAGACTAACATCACGAAGGCGCCAACGATGGCACAGGTTGGCATAAGCCGCCCTAGCTTTCACTATACGTGCATTAATCTCATCACTAACACCCCCACCAGCACTTATGCTGCTACCCAGATACACGAACTTCTCGACTATTTCTATCTGCTCACCATCCAGGGTGAGTACAGGATTAGGATCCTGCCAGTCTTATAGAAGTACTTTGCATTTCGAAGGTGCAAAGCACATACTATACCTACGGACACTGATTGCCAACTGATTAAGTGCGGATTGCATGCCTTGGGCATTATCGCACAGTAAGACAATATCATCCGCATACTCAAGGTCGAGGAGTCTTTCTCCAGGCAACAGATTCACACCGCCATTACTTACATCCATCAGAGCTGTCTCAAGAATGTCATCGATGGCAAACTTGAAGAGGAATGGTGAGATCGGGCAACCCTGCCTAACCTTACTGCTCGAATGGAACAATGGAGAGAGGTGGTTGTATGCCCTCACTCTGCCTGAGGTGTTTTTATACAGGGCTTTCAGGATGTTAAATAAACTTCTCAGGCACACCCTTCTTCAATAGACAATCTCAGAGAACAGCCCTGTCCAAGGAATCGAAGGTAGCCCTGATGTCAAGAAACACTACGATTGTTGGCCTGTGATAAGTATGACGGTGTTCTAACATTTGGCGGAGGGTGAAGATATGATCAATACATCCTCGACCAGAACGAAACCCAGCCTGCTCCTCGCGAGTCAATCTTTCTCGGGTTTTGAACAACCTACGAAGTATGACGTAAGCCAATAGCTTGGACGCAATCGGAAGTAGACTTATCCCCCGATAGTTGTTACAGGAACGAAGTGAACCCTTTTTAAAGATAGGGACAACTATCGACTCATTCCATGACGTTGGTACACTCTCTAGTTCCCAGACTTTTGTAAACAACGTCGTCAGTCCCTTAGTCAGTAAGTCACCACCATCTTTGAAAAGAGCCGGAGGTAAGTCATCTGGGCCAGGTGATTTGTAACGCTTCAAGAGTTGGAGTTCCTTGCGGACTTCCGCCTCATTTGGTGGATCAGTCGTCACCGGCCATGGAGGGCAAGACAGTCTGACCGATGTTGCCGGAGCATCAGGCCAGTTGAACTGCCCTTCGAAAAATTCTGCCCATCGTCCAAGACGTCGATGGATGTTAGTGATTGGCATCCCATCATCCTCGCAGATTGTTTCGCTCACACCAGACTTCTTGCTGCCAGTGGCTCGGATGAGTTGGAAGAGCTTCCGGTAATTACCAGATGCAGCTGCTGCTTCCAGCTCATTAGTACGCTCCGACCACCAGGCTTCTTGGTCCTTACGCAAGCTTTGCCCAATTTCCTTACGTAACATCCTTCGCTTGTGGTCAAACTCACGGTCACCCGGAGTAGACCGACGGGCTTCGATGAGTTATAAGGAGCCTGAAGAAACCCAGTGCTTATAAGCGGGACGTTTCGCGAACCCACAACTGACTGTACCCGCCATTTTCATGGAGTCATGTGGTTGCAACCAATGCTCATCTATAATTTTCGGTGGAATGGTAGCTAGCCTAGAAGCTAGCTCGGTTCGACACTTATTTGCAACAGAAGTTGCAACCAGCTTGCTAACATCAATCCTTTGGTGGCGGTCACTTCGTTGTCCACTGAAAAGTAAGGTAAGATTGGCGCAGACCAAGGCATGGTCAGAGTCCAGATAGGTACTCCAAAAGGAGCGGCAGTCTTGTACACAACCACGCCAGCGGTAGCTGATCGCGATGTGATCAATCTGAGTCCAGGCTTGAGATGCAGAGGAAGGACGCCAGGTGGCACATCGGCGATGACTGTGCCGGAAGTTAGTGCTAGCCAGAAACAGGTTGTGGTCTGTGCACAGTTGCAGTAGACGGTCCCCGTTATCTGACCTGCGACCAACGAGTCCCCATCGGCCACCTAAACGACTCTCTTCTGTGCCTAGACGCCCGACCTGAGCATTCAAGTCTCCGGCTAGTACTACAATATCTGTGGGGCTCACTTTCTGGAGAAGAACAGATAACTGGTGGTAAAACTCATCCTTGATTGCATCCGGGCTGCAATCTGTCGGGGCATAGGCGGAGATGACGAAGAGACATCGTTTCTCACGCCGATTTCTTCTCACTTTGGTCCAACTCTCAAATCTCACAGCACATAACCGACTGTTAATGGGGATCCAATCGATTAGTGCTGCCTCAGCTCTAGCGCTTAGTGCGACACCAACGCCAGCAAGACCAGACGAAGATGCCACAGGGTCCCCGGATGAGCGCACGTAAAACAAGCTTTTTGAAGTAACAGATGGAGATCGAATTTGTAGTACTTCGCCAGAGTCTTGAATACGGGTCTCGGATAGACAACAAACATCAATATTAAGACTTACCAAAGACATAGCCAGCCCTATCTGTTGTCCGACCTGCATAAATGTGCGAACGTTGAAGGCAGCCAGTTTGAATGGTGCACGTGGTTTCAGAAAAACTGCTTCAGTACTCATATTCGGTGGTAACATACAATTTTCAACCGGACAGTGACTCAAGAACGTTTAGATACAGTCGAATTTCCACCAAAGACGAGCTGCTGTATAAACTGAAAAAATAAGTATAGACAGAGTAGGAATAAAAGAGGGTGAATAATGACGTAATAAATAATAATAATAATAATAATAATAATAATAATAATAATAATAATAATAATAGTAATAGTAATGATAATGATAATAATAGCAGTAATAATAATTGAATCATTTGAATGTTCGTCGAAGCAAGAGAATTAGTTTCCATGATCATAGACAGTTCAGTTCATTAATTGCGTGTGGGCTGCGATACTACCCGGGTGCCCAGATCAAAGCAGGTGGTTATCTTAGGGGGCTACACCCCGAGCCTTTGACCTAAAGGTCTAACCCGAAAGGCAGTGGAGCATCGTAAGGAGATGGAGTCCCATGGTAGCCGGTGACCAACGATTGGTTCATACGCCATTTGTTCCCGTAGGATCCTGGTGCCCATGTGCACCATTGATTTGAAATCCGGTTAAAGCGTCAAACATTCGCTTTTCGTCCTCTCATTTTCGTAAACAACACCCCCGCCACGAGAAGGCAGTGAGTAGGACTTCCCTGGCAGAGGCTGTATACGCGCGGCCGTGTAAGAGTATTTCGAGAGGGAGGGCGAGCCCATCCCGCTCTCGGCCATACCAGGGCATTTGGGGGCTCGGTCCCACAGATATCTGTCAACGATAATAATGCCTTTAAAATCGTAAGCCTACATATATAAAACTATCCACAATGAAGTCATATGTGACCGGCCTAAAGGAACAGCTATTTCTTGGTCCCTGTGTTTACAATTCTGACTCGTCAAGACCATTTATAATCCATCTACCTTTGCGCGTATCTTAAGAATAAGTATCGTTTTACGGTAAAGACAACTGAGAATCTAAATTTCCTCCACATACTTCTAAAAGTATTTGAGATCATCTGACGACTTGTATACCCTCAAAGAGCTCGAAAGTTGAGTCAAATTTATGTTTTGATCACTGATTGTTCACTGGACCTCTATCTAACAGTTAGCTCATTTAGATAATCATAAATTCTTTACTCATACTGTTATTTCATTCTTGATATTAATCGGTGGTTGATGACATAAGGTGACATGTCTCAAGATCGTTGACAATGACGCGAATGCATTCACCTTTTATATTCCTTCGAATTTTCATTTATACATCTTTTCGTTCTGTTATTTCAAATCATATGCTCAGTATTCTGATGGTTATCGTCATTACTTTGTTACTACTTTTCTTTACTATTATTACAATTAACTTCATCTCATCGTACAATTGTTGTGTGGAGTTGGGATGACTCATGTTTTGTCCGAAACACTACATTAATCATGACTGACTTATATTCATATCTGACATGTGAAAATAAATGGACCAAGTCCTACACATCCACTTACTTGAATTACTTACGTTTGTTACTCCTAATGGAGTATAGGCAGCCATCCAGCATTCTCCAACCCACTCTGTCCTGGGCCTTCCTTCCTAGTTCTATCCAATTGTTGTTCATTTTTCTCATGTCTGTCTCCATTTCTCAACGTAATGTGTTCTTTGATCTTCCCCTTTTCCTTTGGCCTTGAGGATTCCATGTGAGGGATTGCCTTGTGACACAGTTGGGTGTTTTCTTCAATGTGTCCTATCTACTTCCAGTGCTTCTTCCTGATTTCTCCCTCCTCTGGGATCTACACATCCACAGACGCGCATTATATTAAACTACTGTGCCTTAAGATGCTTTGTTGTGGCTTGAGATCAGTGATCGTTATCAAATATTATATTGCTCAATCAGGATTCCGATCATTGACTAGTTCATCTACATGACCAATAGGACTGATGACCTATTATTTCACGAATTTACACACCGACTGATGAATCACTATCAAGGTATTAACGCTTATCGGTCTTCAAGTCCCTTGTTATCAAACATCCAATCAGAAGACACAAAAAGAAAAAAAGATTAATTTTCGTTGTAACCGCGTACACATCAACTATGCTCAATGTAATTTGATTGGATTTTGCTTCTATTCAGAGTGTCCGCCGGATAAAATTGAACTTGGAAAAGCAACATGGACTTTGTTGCATACAATGGCAGCATATTACCCTATACACCCGACATTGAAACAACAAGAAGATATGAAGAAGTTTTTACAAATTTTTCCTCAGTTCTTCCCATGTCGACCATGTGCTTATGATTTTGAGTCTAGTAAGTATAATATACTTTTTTAAAGTATTATTTTTGTTTTGTTTAACTAATAAACAGTTAGTTAAAAGAGTATGCTATTTTAAATGAAGTAGAAATTATTTTATTTCGGCGTTTCCGCAAAACTATTCATCCTTTTCAACTTACTACATATACTGTATCAGCACAGTAGTGAGATGAAGTTATCAAGACAAATACCTGAGTATTTTCTATAATGTTTTTATTCTGTCACCTTAAATCTAGTAGCGATTTCAGTGACTTTGTGGTTTGAAGCACTTGAAGTTCAACCACTGAACGAAAAGCTCCAACTCCGCTTCAACTGGACACAAAACATAACTTTAGAATGAGTGCACAAACACATCCATTGTTACTAAGGTACATAAAAATGATTTACATATAACATTAGTCAATATATCCAGATTTTAGATTATATTTCTTCAAAATACTCCTTATGTATCGTAAAACGATCGAGTGTGCAACGTTCAGGTTAAAAGAAAGGTTGAGGGGTTGTCAAACCAAAGGCACGCCATCAACCCATGAAGTTATTAACTCTCAGTCTGAGTCATGCTGGCAGACGCAGTCTGTCTAGTTTGAGTCCACGTGATCTTAGTGGTTGGCAACTTCCGATGATGTAGCTGAAAGTCGTTCACAGTAGCGTAAAGGAAATCACTTTATATTCATTAAAACCTTGAGTTCGAATATTCTTTCAATCATACCTTTTAATTTTGTTCTTTCAAGTGATATCCTCAGTTTTATGTCATACAAATGGAATGTGACTAACAGTAGAATCCAGGATGCATGTCTGGTCCTATTCGGGTTTTGTCTGCTGGGTGAACACCTGCCTCACGGAGTTGTTCAGTCTCAGACTCGAACACAATACCATTTGCTTCAAACGTCAACGCGTTATTCACCTAGCCACTGATCCCAAATAGTCGCTCACTTGTGCAACGAGTAAATCGAGCTAATCAGTTCTAAACAGGAAGAGACGTGCATCGTGGATTCCACTGTTATCTATAATGAATCTATTTCGCATAAAGACTATGTCTAGCCAATCCTCATAGAATGCACATATCTCAACCGAGACTGATCAAATATCACTTACAAACTATCAACAATTTTGATAATCCAAACTACTAAAATATATTTCCAATTTTCATTCTTCCTCGTTGTCATTTTATTTATTTATTTATTTGAACACATAAATATTGGTACAGAGGGGAACCGCATACATATGCACCAAACAAGTCACTTGATTTATGTGTAGGCTGTGATACTGTCCGAGTGTCTAGACCGAAACAGGTGGTTTCCTTAGGGAACCATACTCGGAGCCTTCGACCTAAAGGCCTAATCCACAAGGCAGTGAAGCAACGTCCATGGTGCCTCCTTGTACCAATATCTATGTGTTAAAATAAATAAATAAAATTGTTTTTTTTTTTTTTTTTTTTTTTTTTTTTTTTTTTTTTTTTTTTTTTTTTTTTTTTTTTTTTTTTTTTTTTTTTTTTTTTTTTTTTTTTTTTTTTTTTTTTTTTTTTTTTTTTTTTTTTTTTTTTTTTTTTTTTTTTTTTTTTTTTTTTTTTTTTTTTTTTTTTTTTTTTTTTTTTTTTTTTTTTTTTTTTTTTTTTTTTTTTTTTTTTTTTTTTTTTTTTTTTTTTTTTTTTTTTTTTTTTTTTTTTTTTTTTTTTTTTTTTTTTTTTTTTTTTTTTTTTTTTTTTTTTTTTTTTTTTTTTTTTTTTTTTTTTTTTTTTTTTTTTTTTTTTTTTTTTTTTTTTTTTTTTTTTTTTTTTTTTTTTTTTTTTTTTTTTTTTTTTTTTTTTTTTTTTTTTTTTTTTTTTTTTTTTTTTTTTTTTTTTTTTTTTTTTTTTTTTTTTTTTTTTTTTTTTTTTTTTTTTTTTTTTTTTTTTTTTTTTTTTTTTTTTTTTTTTTTTTCTATTAGTTCGTCTGATGATTGAGACTGCAATATGACCAGCTTCAAATTTTGTTTTTTTTCGGACGACAATCTTTTGGTCCATGGGTCACAAACCATCCACGAACTACTACAAGGATGATTGTGCAGTATCTTGTATGATTTTACAACATATCTTTCCGCTTCCAATCTTACGCGGAACCTCGACTGGCAGTTAAGAGACTTGGACCTTAAACGTCACATATTAGTTGAAGTTCTCATGATTTTTCATTCACTGTCAGACCTGCTGATCCACGTTTACGACCAAACTTGCAATGAAACACCACAAACAAGTATTTATATCTCATATCGCTCAACAATTTACTTTCTGTGTGAATATAATAAGTATGGGTAATCTGAGAATGGATAGAATTATTCTTCCACACTTTCTGGAATTTCTTTTAGCGCACTATCAAATTAAATCTAGCTTTCGAATCGATTATTCAGTGTAATACATTGTAACGCCTCGTTTACGTCAACTGAAATTTCGATTGAGCATGAAGCACTACAGACAACACGCATTAATTATTAGAAAAGGTTATTCCTTGGAAAAATACTAGCTAAAAGAAGTACGACAAATATTTAGGACTTACCGGTGACTTGACATTTCGTCTTAACTCTTTAGTTTAACAGTGATTCACAAAAACTTCGCAAATCTGTAACGTTTAAGGTTATTTTATATTTGTTAAGTTGTTTTCCAAACCTTATCAACAAATTATATAAAGGTGTTGGGGTTTACTTCAGCGGTTGGGATCACAGATCGAGTTACGAAGCAACAACACAGCCAACGTGTAACTACAAAACAGGGAGTGCTAAATTAATGCTTTTGGTAGTTATTTTGTGCTTTTTAATGCATCAAAAGATGACTTAAATATGAAAAACCTAATACTCATGCAGCCCAACAAACACACGACAATTGAAATACGGAATAACCGCCTCTTATCAGGCTGTTCTAGGTCCTTGAAACGAAACGGCCGGGCAGCTTTGAAAGAGTCTGACGTTTTACCTGTGCCTTTAGCTTCATTTGTGTCGAAGACTCGATTGGAATCCTCATGTTCCCTAATTGCCAGAATAAACGAGGTTCATGTTCAGTGGATACATAGACACTACCGCGAAACACAAGCAACCTGTGGTGAGATTAGTCAAGAAGGACGAAAATTGTAGTCCCCGATTCGTGAAGATAACTTTCGCATACTCCCATTCGGTGGCTTCAACTCTCGAATCACTTCGTACCCACTGACGCTGGTTACCAACTGAAATACGTTTGCATCCGTATAGGCCACACGACGCCAGGATTAACGACAAAGGCGAGTTGGAGCTGACCATCCCACTTGTGGTGGACTGTCTAGATCACAAAAACGCGGAAAGGACAGGGACTACCAACTTGAAAAATCCTGTGTAGGTAGGTTAAGTGTCCATTCGCATATGACTCATTCACAAAACGAGACTAGAAGGCTCACACGTTTCAAATCAAAGGCGTAAACTGCCTATATGTGAACACCACGAGTTTACTGAATGAAATGGATGAACTGCGTCAACTCAGTAATGCTAACGGTGCTCATTTGATAGGAATATCTGAAACACGTATATCTTTTCAATTTGCGGATCAGGAGCTAGCAATATCCGTCATGTCAGTGATTCACAACGACAGACAAACTGGAGTGGAGGGTGAGAGCCTTGAACTTGCGATTTTGCCTGATAACACATCAAGTGCACACTCGAGAGTTTAATCATCTGTATTGGGATTGGACAATAACCACACAATCCTCAAAGCTGAACACAAGACAACTCGGAAAATAGATATTCAGTATTTAACTCGGAGAAATACTTGACGATGGAGAAGGCGGGAACAATGAATTGAATGAATTGGAGTTGATCGAATGGCATGGCTCGGCCATGCAGGCGTGGTCTCTCTGTATATTACATTATATCTTCTATTCATATTAAACATATTGTTCTTTCTCTAGCCTAAGCTAGTTCTTCGTCATGTATTGGTAGTTGTTACGATACAGTGAGTTGGTGTACACGATGATGTGACTTCCATGTAAGATCTTATAGATTAGGCAGTTATTTCATGACAAATCTACAATTTTAGGATTAGGTCTACTATTAGAGCAGTACTAGTGTTAATGTTATAGTATACCATAATTCTACAAATCTTGACGAATCTGTATGGCGCCCAGTAATACTGTCTAAAATCTCGTGTTGTCTGGATGCAGTCATCTACAGAAAGCCCACTGCTGGCGTGAGGTATGAAAATAGTGTGATGTAGGGATTATCTCACTCTACTCGTTTCGGGTATACTCCAACTCTGATGAGAGGTGACTTCAATCTTCCTAAAGTCAACCTCGCTGAACAAATGTACACTGAAGATGACGACCCTACTGAAACTCAGTTCTTCAACCTGATTGAAGATTTGAAATTACTCAAAAATGTTACGTTGGCAACTCACTGCAGAGACAATCAGACGCCGTCGCACTTGGAATGTGTAGTTACAAATGGTGAATTCCTAATGAAGAATCTCTCACTCTTGACTCTCCTAGGTGAAAGTGATCATGCCCTCATAGCTTTCAATCCTATCAACAAAAGTGAGCCTGAACGTTCCACCGACAACATGGAGTGGAATTCAAAACGGTTGGATTTGTCATCTTTATAGGAAAATCCACATCAGGTGGATTAGAAAGTTCCCCCTCAACTTGATGTTGATGCTCATTTTGGTTTCTTTCTGCTCGTGTTTTTATGTCCTATAAAGTAGTCTGTTCGGTGAACGGTCTCTAAAATCTACAAGCAACCTAAAGTCATCAAGAATTCTACTCTTGATACGCTAAGACGCAAAAAACTCTAATGCGTTGAATACAAACGAACTAGCAACTACAGTGCACATGGGCAATTCAAATAAGTGAGGAACATACGTACAAAGGCAACAAGAGAATATAAATTTCAGTATCAGATAAAGCTAATCGATAGATTCGTCTCTAATCCGAGGAGCTCATTCTGTCATGCATCCTCTTTCTTCGACAAGCCAAAACCGGAGTTTTCTAACTTCTAGCTTCTAATGGCT